TGTCCAAAAGCATTCAATGCCTACAATCTGTAAGATATTAAACTTTTCAGGGATCAATCCTGTAATAAACAAGAAAAAACAAAATAAAATATACGAAATACTGGCACGAAAGAAATTACACCACGCGATAGAAGTGGAAATGGTGGACTGTCAGCCGCTAACTAACCCAACATCACCAGGGAAACAGAAGTGCAGGTCACTTTTTCCTTAACTGCTTAAAGTCCAGAAGTTCATCCTTTACCTTTTTAAGACTGATCAGTTCGACTGACAGAAATGGGTGTCGAGAGAACCATAAAATATTTGCCAACTGTGGTATCGACTGACTAATTCCGAAGATCAGATAGAAGCCACCAATTTTTTGAAGAAGTAACAAAGATGGTCGGTCCTCCATCGTTTTCACAAAAACAGAAGCTGATTGCCAATGATGAAACAGAACTTCTCAAATGTGACGTCGCCTTTGTTAAACTGATGATTTCTGATCATTCCGTCAATAGACTCGGGCAGCAAGGCATTCACAAAGACAAAATTACAATCAAAGTTACAATGTCATATTACATAATATTGTACAGGTTATATATCACATATCACCATCATATCTACAGGTAAACAAACTCGAAGAAACGATCATTTTATTGATCACTACTGCAAACTACCGTAACTTGAAAAGCATGTGAAGTTATTGTCTAGAATTACGATGGACAAACCTGTAGTAAAGACACGTTAGACTTAGAAGAAGTTACACCATACTTAAGTCGCAAACATTTGAACTACTGCATATTCATTCAACAGTATTAATATGCAAACGACCATTTTCAGCTATTTTCTTTAACAGAGCAACAAGAATAGTAAGTCTGATACTTGTAATTAGAATGACAAACTGTCTCATCGGCCGCAGAGAAGCGAGTCAACGCAAGTGGAACAAAAGAACAACACAGAGTAAAAAACATTAAGGGCAATCTCCTGTCCACTTTTATTTAATGGCTTCTGTAGTCTGCAAAGTTTAACCACTAAAGGTGAATCACCAAATTTATACACATCAACTGCTTGGTTGTTGAACATGTCCCGTCAGTTTCTTGACTATCGATTGTTTATCGTTTTTGCAATCGGAAATATTCTTTAGATACGGATTGTATTAAAGAATGTGTTTACCAATTGACTGGCTGAATCTTTTATGCCATGCCATACCTGCACGCCTCTAGGAGGTTATGCTGCGTCGTAAGATCGTTGTAGTCGCTGTACATGTTGCTTTATTGAAACCATCACCTTGAGCCGCTTTTAAGTGTTCCACTTCGAACTCAGATCTGCCTGTATCCTGTGTCTCCACGTAGCATGCTAGCACTCTGGTCTATGTCTAACATGTTTCGACAGCCATGACAGAAGCTTATGTGCATTGGTACATGTTACGTGTTCAACTGTTTCGTTAAATATGGCCAACCTCTTTCTCATAATCTCCATACGTGATGCCGGCTCCGCAGAGGATGGTTGATTATCAGGGTTGTAGTTAAAAGGAATGATCAAATGCTATTCTGGCGCTGCGAGCTCCGTACAACCTGGCACCGCGGAATATTCAATTAGGCGCCGAACTCCAACTGACTGTGGAATATTTGTAAGACTATAACGCGCTTCTGACCCAGTATATCGTTAACTGCACAGGAGTAAGCTCTTCATAGCCGAAAGTGAGTGGTACAATCGGAAGACAAGCCGTAGCCTCTGAAAACAATCAGAAGCAGCATCCGTGTCATTTGTTTAAAGTTTGTTTACACATAGTCGCTGCTGTATGAGAGTAAATATAGTTCTTGTGTCGAAACGATTCATCTGTGTAAAGATTACGAAAACTGCGGCTCGAGCAACGAAGAACTCCACTGGTAATGGAAAACGGGAAGAATAGATCACTCAACGAATTGGAATGGCCGCAGAGCTCCGTTTGAATTAGCCTGAACTGGCGTTACTAAGACATAGCTGAGTCTTGAACCTGCGCAGCTTATATACAA